CTCCCTCCTTTTACAGGTTGGAATCAAACTGCGATACAGATAAATGTTTTCAAGAATATAATGAAGATAAACATCATACTTTCAAAACAGTTATACAACAATTGAGAATCATTCAAGACTAATTGTTCCTATGCTGACCAAAAATGACATTGATAGTGAAAACATAACTTACTTTTTGCAATATGCCAGCTGTCAAAGAAGTGTTGCACTGCTGGTTTTCCAATTTCTCTACAACGTCTCAGACAGTCCTCCTTCATCCATTTGGCTATCGACGTATGTCTGTCACATATGAATGACTTTATGATCATTGCTGTGCCTAAAAGGAAAGTGAAGGCCTTTTGGAAGGCTAGGAACTCCATGCCTGAGCTGCTGCCTGCCTGATTTGCCTGAAAGAGTTGAACAGAAATGCAATAATTTGTAGTCCAACTAAAAATAAATCAGAGTAATATTTATCTGGCATTTTCTACCTCTTTTAGAGGACCTCTGTATAAGACAATTTCTCGTGAAGTTGACGTTCCTAATAAAAACGAGATTTACCTTACTTATTTTGAGACGGATTGTTAAATTTATCAATATGTGATTCCAGAAAATATCCGTGCCTCTTCCAAGGATTTTTGTTTGGTTTGAAGCCTTCTTACTCCTCGGAATTTCCAGTTTTTCTTCATACTTTCCCTTGAAAATTTTAGCTCATGAGACACCCCCGAGAATTGCCAATGACCATCCTTGGCTATATATGGACATTTCTGGAATCACACAATGTATATTTAATCAAATATATATAATTTAGAATGATGTACCTGCACAAGAACAATGTGGACGATTAAACCAATGGTACAACAAAATATTGTGTATGTTCCATACTTGGCCGAGTGCCCCATACTGTCATGGCGACCATCGCCAGCCAGCACAACTTCTTGGTCTTTCAACATATCTAGTAGTTTCTTCTGGTACTTTCGCCAGAAAGCCACTACAGATGGAATAAGGAGGTGCCTTTGGTGGTAATAGTATGTTGGTTCGTGATAAACCAACAAACCCATATGTCGAAACACCAAAAGCACCTTCCTTATTGAAGTGCCAGCACACAACACGGCAAAGCTCAGCAATAGATTTCCGGCAGGAAATCGACCCAGGAGATCTTGCTGACTTTTCCAGGTGACTCTTTCTCCGCAGTTGCTGCACTCTGATTCTATGGTCAACATCATGTCCCTGTTTGTGTAACAGCAACCTTAGGCTTGCGAAAGAAGCACAAGTGGCAGAATTCAAATAGCAGAAGTAACTTCGATAGAAAGACTATTCCCCTTGGTTCTTCCCTAATGTCTTTTCCTTACATGTGTGGCCTAAAAGGCAATAAAAAGAAACATTTCTTAATTACATGAAATAAACTGTAAGAGTGATTGCATGTATGTGTTATTAAAAATAGAATAAATTGTTATTGCAAATATAAAGCCTTTTTTTTATTCAGTTCTCTGGGGTTTTTTTAAAGATACTTTTGGTCAGTTAATCAATGTGCTAGTTACCTTGGGTTTTCATGTATTTTGCCACTGTCATCTTTATCTTTAACTTTTTGATAGCCACTATCAATTTTTTCAGGGTCCCAGGTAGGGTCATCATCCTCATGCCAGGTAGTGCTATTGACATCAGTTGCGTCTTCATCAAAATCTTCGTCCTGTTCAGTTGGTTGATGCATAGACTTTGTCGGGCTAGTATCCTCTGTTTCAACAACTGGTTCGGTTTGGACAGCTTAAATGTTACAAAAAAGTTTATAATATAAATGAGAAATTAGAAAAACGAGAAAATCAGTGTAGTGTGCCTGAAAAAAGGTAATTTCCTTGAAATTAAATTTTGTCAGATTAATCATTTTCATTTTTGACAGGACACCTGTAATCTTACCAGTATTGACCATAAAAAGGCGATTCTGCTCTTGAATTCCTTTGAATGTTTGAACCCACTGCTCTTGGTTGGAGGAAAGTTTGTTATTAAACCGGGTCACCTTAGCTTTCAGCTGAATCAATTCTGCTTTCATTGCCCTGCATGATTCACATGGAGTTATCTGAAAAAAAAAATGATAACTTACATGACTACAGATCCAAACATGAGATGGAGAGAGGGGTGATAAGTTCAGATACAATACAAATAAAATCTTCTCTTTAGGAAATCACTCTTACTAGTCCATCATCAGCCACCAGTATCACCTCTTTGTCCTGAACTCCCTCGTCAGCCACCTGTGCCAATAACACCTCATCTGCCTGAACCTCATCAGTTCGCTGTATCACCTCTGCCTGAGCTCCATCATCAGCCACCAGCACTAACTCCTCATCCTGAACCCCC